CCGCACAGCCGCTGTATCCCGCGCAAAGCGACCCACGGTGCCACTTCAGCACATCACGAAGTAGGGCACCATGATCTGTGGAATGTACAGCCGCCGTGACTCATACCTTCACGGCCCATGGATGGAGGACACAGGCGGCAGGATTAACAAATGCTTTGGCAATTAACGTTTCGCATTGTATCTAAAAAAAGAAGATAATGTCACCGTGTTTACCCATAACAATGGAATTCACGGAAGTCTACGTCGTCGCCTTGGCGAAGTAGAAGGAGTCGTTCATCTTCGGAACCTTTAACTTTCCAGAAAGCAATGTGGTCTCGTCATTCCTCATGATTCCCACACGGTGGTACCCATTTAAGCCAGTTTGTGGTACATAAAAAAAATAGAAAAAATTCATTTGTTGCTACCTTACAGGTGCGCTGTTGGATACAACGCTTGCTGGAAGGGATAGAAAGCGCCTGGGTTCATCAAGTTGTCGGGATCGAGTGCCCGCTTGATGCGTTCCTGTACCTCCACGTGCGCAGGGCCGTGCTCGAGAACGACGTGCTTGACCTTTTCGATACCAAGGCCGTGTTCGCCCGAGATCGTGCCGCCCAATGCAATGGCGCGCTCAATCATGTGGCTTTCCAACTCTCGTGCGAGTCGCCACTCGGTGTCCGTCTTGTACGGGATGGCGCAGTGAAAGTTACCATCTGTTACATGCGCGCAGAGGATGCATGGCATATCGTACACCGCGAACTCCTTCTCAGTCTCGGCAATGATGATGTCGAGCTTGTCGAGAGGGACGCACACGTCAGTGCTGAGTATGAATTCACGGCCGCGTCCACGGTGCGTGAAGGACGCCAGCAGGCAGCTGTGACGGATCTCCCAGGCATTCGCCATGTCCCGCCCCCGCCTCAAGAAGCGCACGTCCTTTGAACGGCCCACTGCGACAAATATGCGCTGCATCGTATCAAAGTCCTACCGCATCTGTCGTCCCTTGGCATCATTGTCGGTAAATTCCATGAGGATGGTGGGCGCCGGTACAAGGTCTTCCTTCAAGTACTTATTGGAAGCTCGAATACCGTCAGCGCTGATAAGCTCACAGCGGGTCGGTGTCCTGGGAAATCCAGCTCGGCGCAGCGCCGCGATTGACCGCACATCATCCGGCAGAGTGGCGAACCTGGCGAAGCCCCCAGCACTGTGCCGCTGCAGCGGCCACAGCTTGAAGGCAACCTCGCAGACGATACCCAGTGTGCCCTCGCTACCGCAGTAAAGCTGCGTCAGATCAAGCCCAGACGACGACTTGCGCACAACCTTGCGCGTCTCCACCACGCTGCCCATAGGTGTCACGACGCGGAGCGAGAGAATGTTTTCGCGGGTCGTGCCGTACTTCAGTGTCGACATGCCGCTGCCGGACGTCGACACCATCCCGCCAACGCACGGGTTCGACGATGGGTCGGGGCCGAACGTGAAGCCACGCTCCCGCGCAGCCTTCACCAACTGCAGTTTCTTCACGCCGGCCCCAACCCACACAAACGCATTGTTAACATCGAAGTCCATCCGCTGCAGGCCATTCGTATCGATCACCACACCACCGCCGTACGGGATTGCGCCACCCTCGATGCCTGTGCCAGCCCCTCGCGGCGTCATGGGGGCCCTGTGGGCAGCGCACAGCTTCACCACGGCGGCCACCTGCTCAATTGTGGCCGGCACCACAGCCGCACACGGAGTCACAGGCATGTGGTACGATTTGTCGCTGCTGTACGAGCTCTCCAGCTTCTTGGGGTCGAGGATGAGCTGCTTGTCCGGGTCGGGGAGAACAGCCCGAAGCGCCGCAAACAGAGCGGCGTATTTCTCCTGGCGTTCGGCCAGCGGTGCGATATTGTACTCCGCCGGCATCCTTCGCAAACCGGCACCGGTACTTTCCTTCTGATTAGCCTACCTGAGTCTCTGGAATGGCTCACTAAGCGAAGAAACAAAACAACAAAAAAGGAGGTATGGTGAGGCAGCGGTCACCGCCACTCAACAGGAATTTACCGTGCCATCTCTGCAACCTACTCACTTCTGCGCTGCTCCTCACCGCCTCACAACGACATAGCTTCGCGTCGAGAAGCCGAATGTCAGCACGTCGCTTTCGATGACAGTCGCGGGAACAAAGGGACGCAGCAGCTCACCATTGAGACGCGTGCCGTTGGTAGACCCGAGATCCACCACCTGCAACTCCATCAGCCATGCGTCCTCGCCGTCACCCAGCTCCACCAACATCTCACGCACGCGGGCACAAACCTTGCTGACACTCTCCGACAAGCCCCAGTCCACACACCCGTCCTGCAACAATGCGGTCACACGCTGATGCAGCTCCTCGGCATTGGCGTACACGAACCGCACCTCAAAAGCGGCGTGCTGTGCAGAGCAGCTTGGGTGGTCCAGAGGGATGTCGTTCACGGCCCGGTCCTTACCTAGGAGCGTCACAGCCCTCCGCGACACTGCAGTGTAAGACGCAACGGGCTGGCTATCCTTCAGCACACGTACGTTGTAGGCGGGGACATACGGCTGAAACACACCGGCATCAGCATCAGTGGCCGCACAGCCGCTGTATCCCGCGCAAAGCGACCCACGGTGCCACTTCAGCACATCACGAAGTAGGGCACCATGATCTGTGGAATCGCTTCGGTGACTGCGCAACTCTTCGTACACACACGCCACGGAAAGAAACTCGAGAATGCTGCGGTCGATGCCGTCTCCCTCGGTGATGCTCTTAAGAATACGTTGCGGCACTGTTAAGAGGGAGGGAAACCACTTGCCATACTTTGAAGACGCGAATCGTGTTGTTGTCACTGGCATGCCGTGATAAGCGCCATCAAGTGCACCTGTTCGTCCATAAAAGGGGGTTTCCATCTCCGCGGCGCCGCAAGCCCTCTCATTAAAGGAAGCGCTCAGCATGGTACAAAGTGGGAAAGGCAAAAAATAGATAAGGCAAGAAAGAAACACTAAGCGATTTTACTTTGACAGAGGGAAATGTAAGTGAGTTGGAGCATTGCATAATGCAGCTAATGATTTTACACTTCCTGGTTGATCTGTTTTGTCACTTAATCCCTCTTTGGCGTGAGGGAATACCGGCAAGATACATTACGCACAGAGGACCCCTCATTGAGAGAAGCGCATCATACACGCACTCGTACCATGCCGCTCCCCCTTATCCTTTTTACAAATGCGTAGACTTCTATACCCCTGCACGTACAGCACGTGCGGATGCCAGTAGAGTGGGCAAGTGACTTTCTGTCACTGTTCCTGCTGTTCTTTTTATTTGGTTAGCTTGCATTTAGCTTTCTTCTGGGCAGCTGTGGTGTTGACTGTGGCTGGGGATAGGGTGGGATTTATGGGTTCGCCGCACGGTAGACGCCGTAGATGTCGACCGCCCACTTGAGCCACACAAAAGCAACTACCTCCAACGAGATTATAGCCGCCCAAGCACCCCATGACAAGCCCCCGGTGCCTATCGTGCTTGGTCTGCTGGCAAGTATGGCCTCCACAGCGCGTGCCTCTATAGTTATGTCAGAAACGTCCTCGTTTCCCTTTCCGTTCGCCATCGGTGAAGGGATCGGGTGTTTTCTTCCTCGTGAGGCGCTTCGCGTGGCTCGGGGGGAAGTACGAGGAGGCATCTCTTTGTAACCACTTTCTTGTGTATCTGAAAAGAATGCAACCAAAAAAAGAGTATTGCTCGTTTGTGTCACGTCCATTAAACCCACCCATGGATATGGAGTCCTTACCCCCCAGCCCCTATTTGCTCCTATTCTCACCTCTCATTCACTTTCTCTCCCTTTCTGAATATCGAATAAACAAATGCTGGCACTTAACCCAATCGACGTTTTTTTGTGGAAGTTGTAGAAAAAAGGAATATACGCGTCTGAGATTCATGCGTCGTCAATCCAGCTCATCGCTGGGATGCGTTGTTCTCTGTGGCGCCGCTCCTGCACTGGTAGTAGGAGGAGGAGGAGGAGCTCTGCTAAACCCGCCGGGAACGCCGCCTCCCATTGCCTTGGACATAAACTTTTGGAGGAGCGGGCCGACCTTTGGATCTCCCATCATCTGCATGGCCGCCATAGGATTCTGCATGAGCGTGGCAAATTTGGAGGCCACCTCTGGGTCCTGCATGGCCGCCATCAGCTCCGGGTCCCTGAATAGTTCCTCCATGCCGGGTGGCACGGCGCCGCCGGGGAATCCACCAGCAGGCATGCCGCCGCTCGGGAATCCACCAGCAGGCATGCCGCCGCTCGGGAATCCACCAGCAGGCATGCCGCCGCCCGGGAATCCACCAGTAGGCATGCCGCCGCTCGGGAATCCACCAGGGAATCCACCGTGCTGCTTCTCCTCCCTTTGACGCTCTTCCTCTTCCTCGCGTAGCTCCTGTTCACGTTGACGGCGGAGCGCCTCCTGCCGCTGCCGTTGCTCCTCCTCTTCCCTCTGGCGCCGCTTCTGGCGGCGGGCGTTGGATTTCTCTTGCGCAAGCCGAAGAAGGGCATCAGTCTTTTCATCGTAGTCAATGGTTTGCGCCTCGCTGAGATCTTTTAGCGCATCCTCCCAATTGCCAAGGTGACGATTGACGGTGCCACGGACACGCAGCGCACGGACGTTCTGCGGGTTGATGCTGAGAGCGCGGTTGGCGTCGTGAAACGCGGCGCCGGGGCGTGCGCAGTCGAGCAGGTAGCTTGCGCGCTGGGACCAGTACATGGCCTTTCCCGGCACCATTCGCAGCGCCTGCGTCATGAGCTCGACAGCTGCGTCAATCTTTCCCTCGCCGGCACGCTCTGCAGCCTCCGCCTTCAGCGCGGCGGCATTCTCTTCGTCCTCCGGGGTCGCGTCGGCTGCCACAGCTGCGGGAATGCCGTCGTCTGGCACGTCCTCCAATTCCCACCGCTCCTCGTCCGGCTCGCTGGCAAGGTCTGCCGGCTCATTCTCCTCTGTCTTTTCTGGCGGCGGCGGCGGCGGTGGCAGAGTGGCGCCCAGCGATTTTAAGTACGCCCGAAGCTCGTCAAATTCGTCGCGGTGGAGTTCATCAGGGTGGTGGCGTAAATGCCCCAGCACGCGGTTCACTGCCTCAACATCGGTCGCCGAGATCGAGTGCATTAGATATCGGTATTTGATCTCTCTTTATTGTCGTCTCCTTTTCCTCCGTTCTTCCCTTTCGCTACCTTGCTTGCTGTTGCTTAGTATCCAAAGCTTTATTCACTTAGACCGAAAAAAAAAATAGCGCAAAGAGTGGGCAGTAACAGGAGCAACGAACGCATCATTCCGGCAAACGACAGCAACTCTACAGAGGTACACTCCACAAACTGCAGGTGACGGTGTGGGAACTCAGTTGGCGTCAACGGCGGTGGACGGCTCCACAGCGTGAAAATGCGCCAGAAGGTCTCGCCGCCGCGCCTCGTATTCATCAACCGGGACGTTGACGACGCCGAACGTCCCGTGGATGGGCTTTACCTTCCTTGACTTCTTCGATATGGCCTCCGCGTTAACACCATACAGCTGCTTCATCGTATCCTCGCGCTGTGTACTATTTCCGCCCTCGTTTTCTCCTTCGTCGTGATGGTGCTTCTTGTTGGCGACCTTCTTTGGCTTCTTTCCGTAGCGCGTCTGTTTATAGTACTGCCGCAGCACTTCGTTCACGTTCTCCACCGCAAAGGCATGCTCCTGATATTTCTGCTGAATAAACGTTTTCAGTGTTATTTCAGACTCCGAACCCGTCATCGGTTTCATCCCTTTTGGGAGGCGCGCCTCGTAGAGTGATTTGCCCTTTCTATTGCCGATGGCTTCCATCAAACTAACCTCTGCTGCATGCCACTTGTCCATATTTGTGGACTTAATTTTTGACACATGGACGCCTAGTGAGCGGTGAATACCGGAGCATCGAATGCACACAAAGACGCCGTGGTTCACAGAAGCCCAGCGCGTCCCATTGCTGTTGCAATCGTTGCAAACATTGTTGAGGTACATCTGGCAAAGCTGTTCAATGCGCTCACGGTTGGCATCCCAGTCTTCCTCCTCCTCTGTTGCCACCGCCGAAGCCGACGTCGCCGCCCCGGAAACCCCAGCTGTCTTGTCTCTATGGCTCTTATGGTGGTGATGTTTGTGGTGCTTTTCCCTCTTATTCCCACGACCGTGTTCCTTCTCCTCTGTCATTTCTTCCGAGAGTTGGCGCTGTGCCTCCAAAGGGCACTCAACATTGAGCAAAAAAAAAGGGGGCAAAAACGAAAAAAAAAAAGATTTTAGAGATGAATTCCAATCCTATTTATGCCCTGGTGTTCCTCTTAATGAAACTATGGAGATATGCACGTACACATTTATATGGTTGTGGTATATAACTCCTAACATACCACACGAAGCCGAAAGTATTTACAAATCTTTCTCATTCTTTGAAGATCATGTAATGTGGCCTCTAAGTACACACCTGACAGCGTACAGATAGACTTTTAGGAGCGCTTCTGTCAGTAGAGTTGAGCTTCCCCTACCTCCATTCACTGAATATGGAGAAACACCGTGTCGCCAGAGCGGACACCACCCCATGTCACCAGCTGCACATTGGGGTTTTCGACACTCAACTCCCTGGGTGGATATCCTGTCTTTAGAGAACACTTCGGTACGCCTTGTGGATAGGCTTCCGGGTTATCATGATACGCGCGATAGGCAAGGTACTCTACCAAAAGCTGGGCAGGGGTTTCTGGCTTAAGCCTCAGTGTAGCATTTCCCTTTGGAAGCCGGCAGCGCAAAGCAAAAGCATTTTTCTCATCAGGCATCGCTTCGTAAGGGCTGATGTCGACCGCTACTACCGGTGGCGGTGGCGTCACCCCTTCGGGATGCGATGCTGTGGGAAGAGAATTTTCATTATCGTAATCCTCAACTACTACTGACTGTATTGTGGTTGAGGCGGGGGGAATAGGAGGAGTAGGGGAGGCATGCCTTCGGCACTTTCCCGCCTCCCACTGTGAGGGTGAGCCGCGCTCAGCAAGAAACGCAAGTAATGCCTCATTCACTTCGCCAGCATCGATGCCTGCTGGCCCATAGTTCAACGGTATCCGCGACTCTTTCATTGTCGTGAGAGGGTTGAGGAGCAGCAAACACGGCATGTCCCTCTCAGGATCGATGCGATAGCCGTGCAGCAACTGGCCACTGTGCTCTGACGCCGCAGTCACCTGATAAATAGAAAACATGGAAAGTGTCTCACGCAATCCCTCAAACCTCCAGATATCTCGGTTAACGCAGAAGCTGTTGAAGTCATCGCCAAGCAGACTTAAGAGAACCCACTGGTCACTATCCACAGCGCGCGTGCAAAACTGCTGCAAAGACAAAGTGCCTTGGTAAACAAAAGGAGGCGTGGTGAAAAGAAGCGAGGATGTGTCCATCTCCGGAATGGACAGCGGCGCCGACTGTTGCCGAGAAAGTCCGGACGGTCCGTATCTGCCGTGCGGCACCGAAGGAAAGTTGTCGTGCCGCCCCCCACCGCCACCGTCAAGCCGGCCAACCAAGTACGGCGGTGTCGTGTACCCCGGCGACCCAGGGTTCGACATCTCGGACGTGGAAGACGCGCCTATCTCCTGGACGGCCCTGTTGGTGTGGTCCGCCACGTAAAGCGAGTGCGCCAGCGCTAGGTCGAAGTTGGCATTGGCGAGATACTCCACCGCCTCCTCCTCGGTGCAACCGTTGATGGCAATGAAGTTTGCCACGACGTCCCCGTCGCTCATTGATCTCCGTGCTGTGCCCAAGTAGTTTTATCCGTTGGGCCTACAGACTTTGCAATTAACCTTATATAAAGAGCCTTGTTGTTTACCCCGTCACCGGCCGTGCAGCACAAGAAACGACAAAAAACACTCACAAGTCGCCCGTGTATCCCTTCAGATCTTCTGAATTTCGAAATGGCACAAGACACTATGATCCGTACCCTCAACGTAAAGTACTGCAAAATTCCTATGTCGAAACACACTAAAAAAATTTTAATAAAGGCTAAAATGCGAACGGTAGAAAAGCAAATATACACAGCAACAATAGATTCAGAAGTGTAAAAAAATCGTTTCAGCATTCATAAGAAACAAAACAAGGAATAAGGAACTGTTTACATATTACTTTCCCGACGGAATCTACATTCCCACATCTAAAAGAGATACACCACAGCAATTCAGATACATAAATACCAAAACAAGCATTGCAACAAAGCACAAGACGCGTTACGCAGAGTACAAACAAAGCGCAATACGCTAGAGTTCATAGTTTTCATCGTCATTCAGAACCTAAAGAGTCTTCCTCAGCTTCCTCATATTCTTCATCCTCCTCGAAAGTACCACTTTCTTCAGTAGAACTAACAACAAGGCACCCCTGAAAACTTGGAAGCACACCTGCCGGGGGACGGCCAGGAGAGAATCCACTAAGTTCATCATCCCCTTGCTCGCCTACGCCTTCGCATTCCATACTATTATCCTCGACAGTCACATGATACACGAGAGCACCAGCACTAACGACCCCAACAGATTTTACACCATCATACCCCGCCACCGGCACAGTAACCTCTGGGGCAGCGTCTGCCGAGAGGGGCGCCACCGCCTCTGCTTCAACACGGGGAGCGCTGGCAGCGTCGGCTTCATCCACCGCAAGGCTTTTCTGAGCAATCTCTTGTGTCATTGGTTGGATGATCTCCATATTCACTGTCAGTGGTACTTCTAGTACTGTTAATATGTTGGTTTCGGCAGCTTCATCGGAGTTCCGTCTGTTTGTTGTTGTAGAATTAGGAACGTTGTTCGTACATGTTCTGTCGCCACAATTGATTCCGGTGGAATGTGGTTGGTTGAGGATTGTCTTGGTGAGCCCCTTGATAGAATGCCGCGCGCGAATCTCTTCCTCCACGATAGTTGTCGCTTGTTCAGTTGCAAAAAGGTTACATATAGGATTTGCAAGCAGCTCGTAGTAGTCCTTGTAGAGAGACCCTCGAGCCTGGCATTCGGATATGTCCAATCGGTCTTTGCTTGATTCAAACTCAAGAATACCACGACGTTCGCGCTCCGCCTTCACCAGCATCCGAAGGAGGAAAAAGATACGCTCATTCCATAATGCATCGCGTAGCGTCCCTTCATCTTCAGTCAGAGCCACCTGGTCGACACCATCGAAGAAGTAGGTTTGTTGTAGCGCTTCACGCGTCGAAGCCTCCTCCGATGATACTGTCGTGTCAAAGTAGTGGTGACGCATTTTCCAGAGCAGGAGCATGCGATTACGCCACTCTTCCTCCTGGATACCGTTGGTATAGGCAATATCAAAGCACATGTGATTGAGAAAGCGAGGCACATCACTGGTTAAGTAACCTCGAAGCAACGCGCATCCTTCCATGGGCTTCATTACAGTACATGCATATCCGTCCATTTCCTTCAGCTCAATTTTCACGCGAGCCTCTGACTCCTCCCGCACAAGCTGTTTCATGCCTTCTTTTATCACTGTCATATGTTTTCTTCTTGCCACACGGCAGCGCCAGGACCGCTGCAGTTTGCCGATCAAAATATCCAATACGAAAGTCGATTTCTTTGGTTCAAACACGTCCTCGAAGGCCCGCCGCCACTCTCGCATGATACGGACCCGATCGTATGATTCAAACTGCCAAAGAACAGCCACGCCATCTGTGGCCTGGTAATAGCCATTTGTGCCTAAGTTACGCAACATCACGTTGAACATGATATCTTCCAGCTTCTCCACGTCGGCACGCGCCCTCGGCTCTGTTTTGTCTGCCAACACCTGCAGCTTGAACCCAATTTCCTTTTGCCTTTCTAAGGCGGCCTCCTGCATCGCCATTTGCAGCTCCTCTTTGCAGCGTTGTACATCCTGGCGCTGCAACTGGCGGATCTCCCCCAGTTCCTTTTTCTCGCGCTTGAACGCGTACATTTCTTGTAGGTAGTTCCGCATACCTGATGCGCCCACAGTCCCACTCTTATAGCGGCGGTAGAAACTCTTGATGGTGTTCGCAGCTGCAGTCTGCCTATTGAGCCAACGCAGCTGTTCGGATGCATTTCGGTTCGCCTCATCAACAACAGTAGGCCATGCGCTTCTCTCCGTCTGCACAATGCTGCGCCGAGCGAGTTTCTCATCCTCCATCAAAAGGTCGCGGAGACCAGTGAAGACGAGATCACTGTAGCGGTTTTGCAGTGTAACTGCGAATTCAGCGAGGAAGAGCAGACTCGCCTCCTCGTACAGCTGCAGCTTTCCTACCAGATAGCTCTGCAGAAGTGAAGCTCGGAGGGATGGATTGCTCGCCTCCAGCTCCAAGGCACCCGCCCTACATCTCCATATGAGCTGTTGGATTTTCCCCCCATACAGCTGCTGCTCCTCAGACTTGGTGCGGAGCAGCGATGCAGCCAGTGTGTGGCGCTCCTCCTCCTGCTCTGCCTCGCGCTCCAGTGCAGTTATACGCAGGAGCTCACGATTGTCCAGTTCCGTATCAAGGATTTCCTTGAATGACAGTGCTTCATCCCTTGTGATGGTAAAACGTTCTCCTTCTTCCCACCCCTCCGCCAACTGCTTCATCTGCATGATGCGAATGAGACGCCTGAACACGTTGCACAATTGGAGTGATTCAAATTCCCCGGCAACATCAATCTCGCGACGGCAGTCGACTTCTGTCTTGATGCATCGCTCGATTTGCGGTGCGATGATGTTCTGCAGGATGTCCTGTTGCGCTTGACGCCGTATTGCAGCCGCCCCCCACTCCTCCTGTGAGTTAATCATGACACGATGCTGGAACTCTTTTTCGCAAACGTCCGCACGCTCCGCGTCGTGGATCGCGAAGATCTCGTCGCGCACGGCGTCGCAGTCCGCCATGAGAGACGCCTTGAATGCGCAAAGAGACTCACGCCCACGCTCGATCATCTCAGCGTCACGCTTCGCCCGGATGATGCGCCCAACATCGCGGTGGGTGAAGCGCCAGCCTAGACACCCGCTCCTCCAGTTGCGAACGGCGCGCTGGATTGTGACGATCTGACACGCGTGCGCCTTCTGCTCCTCGTTAAGGAACTTGAGCAGTATGATCTGCTGGGGCACGCTCTCCTCGAAGCACCGCTCCCACTCCTCCTCTATCGTGACGCGCACTGCCAACTCCAGGTGCTGCAGCCAAACCTGGCGGGCAATAGTCTCGTCGTATTCGAGTTCAAAGCGACCTTCGTCCTCCTCAGCATCCAGTTTCTTCAGCAGTACTTGGTGAGTCGCCGCGCAGTACATCTGCTGCAGCAAATTGCGGCGGGTCGCTTCCTCCACTCGAAGAATGCCTCGGTCATTTTCTTCGCTTTGAATCCACCCACCACACTCTGAGTCGAGCTTAAAAGAACTTTTCATTGCTTCGGCCTCCAATGCGGTCTGCAGCTCTTGCCGTCGCTCCTCCCGCTGGCCCTGCCAATATAGCAGGCGCTCCAGGTGCAACCGTCTGTGCTGCCATGCCCTCATCAAGGATAACTCCTCTTTGAAAAGAGACATAATACTATCGTACTCCCCTTGTTCGCATTCTGCAATCACCTTGCGAGAATCAGCATCTTTTTCCAATAGGACAACATATGACGCAATACCAATCGTATTGCGCAAGCCGTTAGTCATTGACAGACGAGCAGTCGACCGATGATTCGACGCTGCAAAGCCCGGCTTTCCTTCTTTTTGCTCAGGCCTCTTGGGATCACTTGCTTCTGCAGAAGGCGCACTGCTGTCGAGGGCATGCTTCAACCGCACATATCGCTGCAAGATCTTCCGCGCATCCGTTCCATCCTGCGGTGGTTGGCAGGTGAAACCGCAGCGGCTGGGGGCGCACGTCGGATACAACGCCTCGGCCTCCTCCAGTCGCCGCTGCTTCTCCTCCCTAGCGCGCAGGGCGGCCTTGTAGCTGATAAGCTGCTTGCTTGCCTCTGACTCATTCTGCATCCAGTAGCGCTCCTTGTCCTCCTCGAACACAAGATTCGCCCGTTTCTCGCGCTCTTCGTTGTACAACTCGTCCATCTCATCCCGCAGCACGAAAGTGACGTAGCTGACTATCATCATCTGGTTCAGCACGCGGAGCTCCCACACCTCCGTGTCCATGATGTGCTGCCGCTCCTCCTCCTCCAGCGCGGCCAGTGGTGTCTGCCGCTCCTGTATACGCAGCTCGCGCGCCACAATGCGGCCCCTCTCTGACTTGAAGCGCAGACCTTGCGAGAAGTGCAAGGAGGCGGTCCCGTCAGCCGCCTTCGCCTCGGATGGAAGATGCGGCTGCAGAATTAGCGGCAGCTGGACGGTGGGTTCTTGATCTGGCTTGTCGAGGAAGTGCTTGCGCACGCCCCGCAGCATTTTGAGGTATCCGTCGTGCCCAACCGTACTGCCGCACACGCGGTGCACCGTTCGCTGCTGGTTGCGGTGGTGAAACCTCTCTGCGGCGGGGACGGTGCTGGCCCTGTTGATGTCGGGAAGCGAGTTGCTCGTTTCCTTCTTCATTTTGTTCTGTAAATACAAACTGAAGTGGCGTGTTGTGCTCTCAGCGTACTGTGTTGGCAATTCACACCTAGTAATGTTAATAACAACAATAGTAAATCACAGCATACGCAAGAAGCAAGAGAACCAGCCAGGGGCGTAGGCGAAGGAAACGGTGGAAAAGAAGCGGGGGGGACACAACAACAGTAACAAGCTGCAGCAGCAGCAGCATTGACGGCGACGTGGGGCGGAGTGGCGAGAGAACAAAGGAGGAGAAAATAAAGGGAGGAAGATGGTGAATGTCCCTACCACTTTGGCGACGCCGGCCACCGCTGATCCCGCGGCTCCCTAATCTCCGCGCGTGCGTTGGGTGCCTGGAGACGGCCGTGCCACAGCGGTGTCTCTTGCATCGTCGCACGACGCAACTGTCGCGCAGCCGTCTCGACGGGGAGGCCCAGCGTGGCCGCCTTCTTCGGCAGCACGTTCTGCTCGAACCACGCCCACTCCTCTGCGCTGTGCTGCATGTGCCGCGGCTCGCCGACATCCTTCCACCACCTCATCGTCTCCTCCCACCGCAGACGGTTTTGGTGCAGCTCACTATCCTTGTGGGCCTCGTAGTCCTGTTTGTAGCGGAAGCGGACGTGACAGAGAGCGCAGCTTGGCTGCTCGCCAAAGAGCCATACATCCTTACCGTTGTGAGGAATGCGTTTGCTACGTCGATCGATCCACTTAGACTTTTTTCGGATACGAATGAGTCGGCCGCTTGCTGACGCGGTGCTGCTGTTGATCGTCGTCACCTCGGCGAGGAGGCGGCGTGTGAAGAACAGCATGCTGCCCGGGCCGCACGGTCACTAGAGAAGAATAAGCCGACGACGACAATAAAAACAAAACAGCGAGTGTGTGTGTGTGAGAGAGAGAGAGAGAAAGCAAGAAAAGGGCGTGGAAAGACAGGGTGCAAATGGGTTCTGGCGCAGGAGGTGAGAAAATGCGGCAATGCCGGCGTAGCAGCAGGATGTACTCCTCCTCCTCCACCTCCCGCTGCACGCGGGGTTCAGGGCGTGCGTGTGTGTGTGCCGCCGCCCCCCCGCACCAGGATTGACAGGCGCATATAAAAAGAGAGGAGGAGAGAGAGAGAGAAAGAAAGGGAAACAGTCGTGCTCTATCTACGCCCTGCAGACCCACGAGAGGCCGACAGTCAGTGTGCCCTGCGGGTGCAGCACCTCCGTCGTGCGCACCACAGCCTGCGGCGACGCCAGCAGAGGCCGCAGCGGCACCTCCGCGACGCCCAAGTTCGCCCGCACCTCCTTCGCGCGCTCGTCGAACACCACGAACACAACGGCGCCCTCCGCAATGAAGAGCAGCAGCTCCTGGTCCACTACCACGCGGTGCTCGATGGGCTCCACATCAAAGACGGGGTCGGTGGTGAACGCCTTCGTGGACGTGCGCACAGTTGTGTCCCGCACACAGCTCAGCCCGCTCGGTGCGGACGCGGTGTAGAAGACGTACGGCTGCGGTGGTGGCGTGGCGCGTAGGTCGGCAGCTCGGAACACCTGCACGCGCAGCGCAACGACGCTGCGCAGCGCCACCAGCGCGGCCCGCATCGCCTCCGCGCCCATGTG